ACTGTTTTTTTTTTTTTGTAATTTTATGCAAAGGGGATATAATACAAAGAATAGTGTTATAAATGTACATACATTTAAAAAAAAAATACAAATATGAAAAACTTTCGAGGATTTACGATGCTGATGACCGTTAAACCGTTAAATCACAATCTTGTGAAAAGGGTCCATTATGCATTCATGAACCTGTGTGTGTATAAAATTATTATAATGTATATAATAATAAAAATAAAAAAATCTTAAAGCACATAGCTTGCACTGTGACAAAATGAGGAAGATGGGTTGTCTTTTGTATTTGCTTTATTCAAAATGTCCTCTTTGTACACACAGCAACACAGTACAGCTAATTCCCAAACCTCTATTTGTACCAGGAGTCTGTAAAGGTGCTGATAATAACTTAAAAATGAACACTCCAAAGACGTATCCCTATACAAAAACACAAATAGAAAGAAGGCACAATGTATGTTCTCTCATTACACCAGGGTTCTACCCATAAATTATACAGATACATTCATTTACCTAGATTACGTCGTCCTATAAGGGCAAATGCACACGTGCTACACGTATGATTACATAAGAGGTCCAGACATCTACATGTGCCTCTAGCTCTGCAGAACGACACAATCCTACAGTAACCTGAACATTCAAATAGACACTTTAAATATTTATAGCTGCAGAGGCAGGTGCGGGTCCTAAATGCGCACATACAATTACAGTCAAGGAGACGCTTTGGGTTTGCTCACAGATTTAAATTGTACAGACTGAGCTTAGTGTGAACATTTTAAACCTGGAAATAGAAACAGTATTAGAAATTCTAATACTGCATCCTACAGAGAAAACAAATCATGATGTTTATATATCTTCTATTGTTAATATAGAACAGCTTGAACTCTGTTTGTATATGAATGTATAGTAAATAGTGGTTAGATAAAAACTAATGCTAACCTCCATTCATACCGACTCAAAACACAATGTTTATTCATTAAGTCACAGGCCAGCAGTGAAAAAATAAATAAATATGAAATTAAATAAAAGAAAATAATTTGTCATAATTGGCTAGTGGATCCCCTATATACAAACACAGGATAAGAACCGTCAACGTCACCACAGAAAGACACAGAAAACAGTCCAAATATAACATACAATTTCTCAACAACTAACAAGATTGGCTTTGGTTTATAGAAAGGCATATATTATATACATAAACTGACCATCGGCTATGCGTTCTACGGGCCTCGTTTATGAAACACGAGCAGAACAAATTTCAGTGTAAATCATTCTTACATAAATTGCCGTGTTCAATTCGATGTGACAATTCATGCAAGAGTGGATTTATGAACTATCTACGGGAACATTTGTTCTGCGTGTTTAATGAAGGCGCTGTGTGCCCGGCAGGGAACTAGAAGTAGAAATTATACTGCATTTATTTTAAATTCCCCTTGTTAGCAGCAAAGGGAGGCTACTTTTGGTTGTGCAATTGTGCATTATTTAACTGGAGGGATATTTAGGCTTGATCTCACATTGAGTCATGTTCATTTGTTTGGGTACAACCAAAGGACAAACCCAGGCAGAGCTGCAGGTCCAGACTGATGAACTAAAGACAAGTCGCTTCGCCCTAAACTGATGATTTCTCATCTGAAAAAAGGAATAAAATGTCTCTGTGCACAGTCCATTTTCTAAAACAGAGGACTAAGCACAGGTTTCAGTCAAGTTTTGGTCCAGGGTAGGAAGTGGTCAGAGATGAACATTTATATCCGGTGCAAAGTGCTCAATGTTCCTTCAGTCTAGAAAGGAACAGAAAAATAGACTTGTATCGTCAAAACTGTATTTATAAAAGTTAAGTAGTCCCCTGACTCTTCTGGCCATTGATTTGTAAGTGTAACTAAAGAACAAGAACAAAACAGCACTCACTCGACAGCAACTCCTGGCCGGTTCCTATGAGAGCGATGCTCCTTCATCACAAGTCTCAGTAAAAGCTGAAGAACATACAAACAATTTGTCTTTTTGTAATAACTGTGTGAAATCTTTAGTTAATTTATCGCTTGTCTTAAATGTACACTGTGTTGTTAAACTGTATTCACCGCAAAACCTGTTTCCCTATGGGGAAGTAAAACTAGTTTCTATTCTATGTTCCCATACTACAATTAATAGTAGTAGCTTCTGTCCAGCTCCAAAAAGGCCCAAAACCCCATAAGCATTACGAATAAGATATATCTGGTACTTCTGTTGTATTGACAAAGCTGCTCATTTTCAATTCTAGAAGTTTTAATAACTGAATGTTCTTCTGGGTTTTTATTACTAATAAATGTACGTCTTTCCTAGTCCTTTGTGATTTGTGGGTTTCTGAAATGAATTTGAATCCACAAAAGAACTTAACATAACTAGAACATTTATATTCATTATATATTTTAAAAAATGTATACAGTATAGAAATCAAACGTTTAAAATTCCATCAAATCACACTTTAAAAATTCCATCATATGACCATGAGAATCCTGTTTCTATAAATAATAATGGCAGCTGTTAAGCGAACAAATAAAATAAGAAATGTGTCATTCTAAATCTATATTTTTAGCTACTTTGGGTTATCTAAAGCTTGTTTTAGAAGTCCTTTAGAAGTGTGTTGAGGCCCCCTAGTGGGTCCCAGATTCCTGGTTGAGAAGCACTTGTCTGGAAGTCTTCTGAAACTAGATACTAATACTAACTATGTGTGAGAAACAGACCAAAATGTAAATCATTTGAAAATGCAGGACGGAGAATAAGATTTGAGAAAATGGTCTGAGAAAAACGACTGAAATTTCAGCCTGTATAAGATTGTATGGCTTCAGAAGTCTTGAAATGTACATAAGGTGGATGGACTACTTTTATGGTGTTTTTTTATTCTTTTAGGAGCTTAAAGGGATAGTTCACCCAAAAATGAAAATTCTGTCATTAATTACTCACCCTCATGTCATTCCAAACCCGTAAGACCTTCGTTCATCTTCAGAACACAAATTAAAGATATTTTTGATTAAATCCAAGAGCTCTCTGACCCTCCCATAGACATCAAGGTTACTACCATGATCAAGGTCCAGAAACGTAGCAAGGAGATCGGTAAAATAATCCATGTGACATCAGGGGTTCAACTGTAATTTTACGAAGCTACAAGAATACTTATTGTGTGCAAAGAAAACAAAAATAACGACTTTATTCAAAGTGGTGGTAACCTTGCTGTCTATGCAGGGTCAGAGAGCTCTCAGAATTCATCAAAAATATCTTAATTTGTGTTCCGAAGATGAACGAAGGTCTTACGGGTTTGGAACGACATGAGGGTGAGTAATTAATGACAGAATTTTCATTTTTGGGTGAACTATCCCTTTAATAGTCTCTAGGATCTGTATGGGAAAAGCTGCATATAGGTTTTTTGGGGGAAAAAAACTAAGAAACATACAATAAACAATAATGCAGTCGGCATCTATTTCAACTCACCAGCAGTGCTAAAAAGTCTGCAGTCATGAGCATGTAAAAGACCTGATCCCAGCCTCGTGCTGACAGCAGCCCTGCCAACAAAGGTCCCACAGCAGCACCTGCAGAAGATGAAAGGTGCAAGAGTGACCCCTCTCAGCTCTGCATTACACAGCGCCACAATAAAACCTCAATGAGTGTCAGGAGATATGAGAATTATAACGCTCTTACCAACAGATCCAGTGCCGTCTATAATAGCTGTCACTGTAGACAGAGCCCTAGCATTGCCCTTCAGACTCTTGTGTGTGCCCTAAAAATATCAAATAATACATCAGAGAAAAACAGCATCTGACAGAAGAATAAGCTTATGATAGCGCAAACACACACTAGACCTGATAAAAGGCAGACAAACACTCACCAAGTCAGCAGAGACAGCGGTTGTGATGAGAGAGTACGGTCCGTTGACTAAACCACCACACACCAGCAGCATGCCTTCATAGCAAATAACATACAAACATCAGACCATATAATTACTAAGAATAAGAATATAACAACACATAAAAGTTGGCATCAGCTGTCCACTGTTAATCTCATTAGTTCTCTCATTTGAATCAAAGCAATGGCGGTCAAAAGCTCTTATGTAACGCTGAAAGGCAACATTAGGATTGGATGTCTTACCAATAGTGGGACCAAAGCCAAACTGACTCATCATAGAGAAGCCGTAGAGCTATTAAAAACACACACACATACACAAACCACTGTCAATGGTGACACAGCAAAGAGCCTTTAAATGCACAAGCTTCCTGTATTTGATCAGCAGAATGACATACTGTGGGCGCAGCCAGCAGAAGCATCACAGCACAAGTGGTGGCCCTCTTTCCCAACTTATCAGAGAGCACTCCAGCCAGGATCCCTCCTACACACACACACACAAACACAGAAATACTTAAGGGTCGTGATTTGATTTTGCATTACTCTGCACTGCTTTATCATAGCACTTCTATGTAAACATGAGGTAGACAAACGAGTTTGATTGTCACAGACTACCATCTTTTGTAATATTATAAATGTCTTTACTGTCACTTTTGCTCAATTGAATACATCCTTACTGAATAAAATACTAAAAAAATTGTATTAAAGCCAAACCTATGAATAGTAGTGTTGATAACAGTAGATAGTTTTGCTTGGTTAGCAGTGGACAAACAGTTTTACGCCATTTAAATATTTGCGTGATAAAGAAACATGGATTAATATGAAAATACAAGGTAGGACGTGTCTCAAACAAGTCAAGATTAGGAAGAACTTGTTAGTATAGGGGTTTTATGATGACACGTCACAATTTCTTTCATTATTAAAGAAAGCAACCGATGAGTGGTCACAGATGTGTATATCAACTATTAATGCCCACCCCAAATACTAAACATTAAAAAAAAACAGGACTGATAAATCTACATACCAACAATGCCTCCCACATCAAACAGAGTTGAAAGGTCTCCAGCTTTCTTGGCATCAAGGTGAGCTGAGAAACAGGAAATACATCTTAGTCACTGTGCTATATTAAAGAAATAGTTCACTAAAAATTAAAAATTGCTGGAAAATGTACTCATCCTCAGGACATCCAAGATGAGTTTGTTTCTTCATCGGAACAGATCTTGAAAAATTTAGCCTTATATCACTTGCTCACCAATGGAAACGCTGCAGTGAATGGGTGCCGCCAGATTGAGGTAGGGCTGGTCCGAATACCATTTTTTGAGCTTCGAAGCTTCGGTAGTAATCAACACCGAATATTCGAAGTTTCGGAGGGAGGGGGCTGAACATATTCTTCTCTCTATTAAAGGCAGGAATCTCTGTGTGTCTGTCTGTCTGTTTGCATTTTTATTATGTCAAGAATAGGGTTGTGACGGTGAGGAAATTTTCCCACTGGTGAATCGACGTGTGACATCACCGTGGGGGCAGGGGCGTTTCCTCTTTTCCTTCGCTTTTATATAGCTTGCAAAAGCGGAGTGCGCATTTTACTTTCACTTTCAAATAGCGGCAATTCGGCATAAAGCAATTGTTGGTTTTTAGTTTGTTTGAATTTTCCCTCTTTTCCTCGCTTTCTTTTGCTTTTAAATAGCTTAAAATCGAATTAGCGGCAATTCGGCGTCAATTGCTTGAATGCAACAACAAAATACAACGTCAAACTCACTTTAGCGTATATATAAAACATAGAATTTTATTAACAAAACAAACAAAAATACACCATGTTATAGGGCAGGCTATGCATAATATAAAATAACAAATAACTTACATAAAGTTTAAATAGGTATACAAAACTGGAAATAAGTAAACATGTATAATATATAACCAAATAAATAAGAAACATAGAAAGTTTATTAGCAAAACGAATAAGAAAGCTTGGAGGCACGGCATACACCTTGATGTCAAATAAAATAAATAAATGACACAAAGTTTAAATAAAGTAAAAATCAGCAAACACTGTGGAACCAATTAAATAAGAAACGAATGTTTAAAAAAAAACTTCCAAAATCACCTTAGATAAACGGCAAAAGTCAACAGGCTTTTCAAAATCCAAAATACTGCCAAACAGGCGCTTTTGCATTTCGTTTCGAAACTAAATCATCTGCCATTGTCTTGTCTGTCTCACCCCACTCTTCTTGTCAGTCAACTCTACTCACTCTCCTCACTGGAGAAATGAAATCTGATCTGTGATGCGACTGTTGTTCGGCACGCTGCATTGAGCATCAAAATTGAAAATCGAATGCCAACCCACCGAACGAATATTCGAATAATCGAATATTCTGGCCCAGTCCTAGATTGAGGCATCAATTTATGTCTTGTGAAGTGAAACACTGCATTGTTTGTAAGAAACAAATCCATCAAGGCATTTTAACCTTAAACCAATGCTTCTGACCAAAATATGAGCCCGTAATCCAAAATAACTATTCGTCCAGAGAAAAAGTCCATCTCCTATTGTTCTCTCACATCAAAATCCAACAACATATTTGTTTAGAACTGTTTTAGACTGTTTTCACT